TGGCCGGTGGCCATGCCAGTTCACCAGAGCTGATACTGTAGGGTGTCACGGTATGCAGTGGCCAAGGCGGTTTGTTAATCCTTTTCAGTGAGTAAAATGAACAAGCGAGAGTCCTCACAACTTCTGTTGGACTTCAAAATAAATTTAAAACCCCCCAATATTTCCAGCGTTTGCTTCATAGGGACGTATCGGCAAGTGAGCTTTCCCCTTGAGCTTGGAGGTAGTAGCCAGTATCTGGACGTGTAAGCAGAGCATGAACCTGGGAGCAGAAAACAACGTCGAGGAATAATGGGGAATAGGGGCTGGAGACACCATCAAGCCTGGGAACGATGCCGTGAAGCCAATCAAAACGAAACAACGCATGGTGAATTTTTCTGTTCACTACAAACTCCACAGAAGTGGCCGCTGGGCTGTTGCTGCTCAAGCCCTGCTCCTGGCTGTGGGTGCTGGTGTCAGGTGTGAGCCTGCAGGGTTGCAGCCCTTGCCAAAGCTACATCAGCGATAATGAGGGGCTTACTCAGTTTTATGTTTCTGGGTGCTAACAGTTACTGCAACCCAAGACGTGAACATGATATTTTAGGAAAGAAATATATATAAAAAAAAGAAACTATAATCAAGAGGTAGATCTGGTCAGCACAAATTTTTATGCAGCCTCAAATGCCAGCCTCAGCTGAAAACAAAAATACAAATATATTAACAAAAAAATTAAAAGTTGTGACTGTAGTAGATTTAGTCAGATAAACGTGGCCAAAGAGTATTCAAAGGATAAATCTTTATGGAACATCTGCCTACATAAATAAAATATATAAATCCAAGCTTACCCAAACAGTGATGTTCTGGAGAGGAAAGGATAAAATTAACCTAGCAGAACAGCGAACATAGCAAGTAACTGCAAAACCGTTATAGACAGTTAACAGCAAAGGATGCTAGAGCTTATAGGAGGTATTTTACAAATGAGTTATTAGAAGATGATTGCTGATGAAAATTAGGGCAAATTTTATCCAGAGATATTAAACCTGAACTTGGATATCAAGTTCATGAATTCATAGCAGCAAAAATCCATCTATGCATTTCAATAAATGCATTTGTAAAAAGCAAAACTTGGGGACACCTTTAATGTTTTGAGTTTGATGGTGGGAAGAAATTGTGTTGAAAAGCCCGGAGGAGGAGGAGGAGGAGGAGAAGAAGAAGAAGGAGAAGAAGAAGAAGAAGAGGAAGAGGAAGATATGGTGCTTCTGCTTTGGCCAAATGCAGGCACATGAAATGCAGCTGATGAACTTTTGGCTCAGCATCTGTGTGAAGCCAGGTAGCGAAGCCTTCAGCAGTTCAGCGCTCATTAGCTGTGGTTAAGACGAGCCTCTGGGGGTCCTGCCCTGATGACATTCGGCATTCGTACGGGAGCGACCCTCCGAGGTGCCACAGCCCTGGCCAAAGCGAGGAGGTGTCCATGGCTGCATGAGACATCGGCTGTTAGAAATCTCTGTAGTGCTCAAGTGAAGAAAAACACTGTAAAATCCACAGCTGAGGAGTAACGCTGACAAGGTCACTGACGTTCAGAGGTCTTAGTTGCTCGGCATATACCGTCATGGGCCAGGACCTGCAGGAAGGGGTCAAGAGCGCCTGAACCATGTATTGCTCAGGGTGGACAACGCTGGGTTAAAGAAAATACACCTTGAAAGAAAGGGTCCAGTGCCAAAAGAGCTCTTCTCTGGGGAGCAGAGGCTGAATTATGAGTACGGGTGAACTGGAATGAGTACACGTGGACAGGTCCACTGGAAGCATCTTATGAGGGCTGCTGTGGTGCTGAGCAGATGTACTTTGAGTCAAGTTTGTCTCTGAATTACTTTCTGCATCCCATGCAGCTGGAAGTGTCACTGACCTGAACTCTCAAGTACGTGACCCAGTACTTAAAAATAGCCTCGAAAGCATAGAATGCAAAAAGGTTCCAGCTTAGGGCAATGCATGGTAACTCTCCGGGTGATTGAGAAGAGCCCAGACTCATACTGCTGGTGGGAAGCGAGGAGAGGCTGGGCTGTGCCAGGCACATCCTATGCCTTCGGTAACAGCATGTCGGAGGGCAGGACAGGAGATGGAGGGAAACAACGCTCTGGAAAATATTTGGTGTTGTTGAGGCAAATTGCTGCCATAGTAAGGGACTGAAAGAAGTGGCAAAACAGAAATAGTCTGCATGGAACTAAAGCAGGCATGTTTTCAAAAGCTGGCACTCAGAACATATTTATTGAGTAGATTAGACCGGTGATTGGCACTGTGGCTTTCGTTTGGTCCGTTGCTGAGATTTCTTTGGGTTTTTTTTCCAGGGCGCTGGGGTTTTTAAGAGCATAAATGGAAGACAGGCAGTAAGCCCGTCTGCTGTGGTTTGATGGCAGCAGCTTACCCTTAATTAATGACTGGGGGGGGGAGTTTTAGTATTAAAAATAAACTAGATTTGCTATCAACATGTGATTCTGTCAAGATATTCTCAAGGTGGCTGTTAAAACTCTCCATTTCTTTTTGCCTGTAAGTGTGGGAAGTGCATTTCCCCCCTTTGAATGTTTTCATGTGCCTCCATAGTGCTTGCAACCCTGGTCTTGCAGCTGTGATCCAGGAGCCTCTTGAGTCTGCTGAAGTCATTTGGAAATCCAGCGAAAGACAGGGAACTTGGGCTCTGATGCAGAAGCAGTGCTGGTATTTAGTAAATTTAAAAAAAAAAAAGATTATGTAAAACAGTTTCCAGATTCTGTCAGTGCACATGTACAAAACCAGAAAATGTATTCATTCATGTTATCTCTGAAGTAATCTGGATATTGTGTGTCGTCTTAATGACCGATCATTAAAATTTGTCTTTAAAATGAGTGTGAGACAAGGAATGTTGTGACAGCAAAACCCAGTCTATAAAGCTCATGGCTGACTCAGGTGGCTGAGCGGAGAACGGCTCCATGGCTTGAGGAATGTACGAATGACAGAGAACTGAGAGAGAAACACTGAATGAACAAAGACGTACTAAAAACGAATGATCTCCTGTAAAGCAGAGTTTGTCACCGGGAAACGGAGGTCAGTCGAACGCAGTTGTGCTGTATGTGTGGTCCCCTCCCTGCAGCGGCTTTCGAGCCTGTGGGCTCATTGCAGCCAGGAGCAGTGCCCAGGAAAGGTGGGAAGTTTCTGTGGGATCATGAAAAGGTGCCACCAAGTCAACTGAGGTGCTGAAATAGGTAATCGATCCATTATATCTTGGAAAGTTTGCACGGGGGAAATACTCCCAGCATGGAAGATGCCAGCCTGAGAACTCAGTTAACTAAGACACAGTGTCCCACAAGACAGGAATCTGTAGGAGACCAGGCCACTCACAGAATGATGTTTGGGGGTTTTAGTGTTTAATATGTACCAGTCTAAGCAGATAATGCTGCAACACGAGTGAAACCTCCCTTCACACCGGGGCTCGGGGCAGCGGAGCTGCTGAATGGCACCCAGGGAGGTTTGGCCTTGGGCTGGTACTTGGCAGAGCAGCCGGCATCACCCACCCCAAGGCCTGTTGTTTGTTTTGAACATTAACTTGGACCGATTTACAAATGGGTTGCAATAAAACTGGAGTGGACCTTTGCTTTTGGCTCTGGCACTGCATTGTCTTGCTTTGTTTTTGTTCTGCAGGACAGTGCAGCCGCATCTTCCCTCCCCAGCTCGGCACGCTACAGATCATCCACGGCAACGGCACAGCTGTGGGGACAGTGATAGCATTCCAGTGCTCTGCCGATCACCAGCTGGAGGGACCAGGCGTCATCACCTGCATTTGGAAAGGGAACAGTACCCAGTGGACGGCTGGAGCGCCCTCCTGCAAGCGTAAGGTTCTTCCCAAGCCATTGCCAGTACCTTTGGGCTGCACTGTGTTTATTTTGCCCTTCCTATCCCCTACAACATTCGGATTAATTCTATACATCCGTGCAAGGAAAAAGACAAATTCAGTTTCCTTCAGAGCTGCCCCCACTGCCTGCAGTTGTGCTCTGTGTGCGTTCTGACATCATTCATTACCATGACACAGAGGAGACTTGGTTGAGTTTATGCCTGGTCTCACATCACCGACCCTGGAGGTGTTGCACCCAGAACAACTGTGGCTCTGTAGCTACAAGCTGTACTCTTCTGTAGAAGCAGTACAGACGTGACCAAGGAACGTGGAAGCATATTTGCACACCCTCTAATCTCCTGGCATTCTCTTCTGAAGATATTTTTGCTGTAGAAGAAACACAGTGATGTTTTTTGAACAATTTTAGGTCGCTGCCTGTGGGCAGCCACATGGGGAAGTTACTGTATTGACAAATAGCATTTGAATGGCAACAACATTAAGTACCTTTCCTGCTGTGTCCTTCCTATTTATTTGAAGGTTGTTAGTAATTTGAGTAGGAAGTAGGCCTGAGCCCAACACGGCACCTCAGAGCCTTGAGAAGTCCCAGTCCGCATCTCAGACCCTGTATCACATTCAGTCACTGGTAGATGCGTGGCTCTTTGAGGCACTTGCTGCTCTCTCACCAGCTCAGCTATTCTTACCTCTCATTTGAGAGATCCCATTAAAGAAAAAAATTAGCTAAATCCTCCCCTCTGGAGGCTGCAGAAATGTAAAGCTCTGTGTGGAGCTCAGCTGAGCCATTCCTGATGCTGGTTATCCTGGTGTTGGAAGAACGAGACGAGTTTGGAAGCAAGATGCACTTAGCGCTCCGGATGCGTTGGCAGAGACTTGCGTTAGCTGTGCCCCGCCATGTTCCCGCTCCCCCTCTTGTCTGAATAATTCATTTCTGGCACCAGGTCACTGTGAAGGCTCAGCCCTGCAGAAACTGTCCCTTCCATCCCACATCCGTCCCCAGACGGAGGAAGACTTGTTGTTCCCTGCTTGCCAAACAGCATGTAATGATACAGAAATCCCCTTGCTCTGAAGGGCTTCTTTAAAGCCATTTACCCTGCCAGTATTGGTTTTGCAGCTCCACTCTTTGTTAACAATTGCTTCCAAGAGTCTGCTAGCTCATCTGCATTTGACACGCTGACAAAGTTGGGCTTTTTAGCCACTGCAGCGCTAAAGGCATTGTGTTTAATTAGTTGCAGTGGTAAAATACTTGTGAACAATTCATGAGTCGCTTATAAACCAGAGAGTTTTAAATAGCCCCGTCTGAGGCTTGCGTAGCTCTAAGCTGAAGCCAAGATACTCTGGTATCTTGACACACACTAACGTGCAAGTCCTCACTGAACTATTATTAGCAGAAGTGTGAAGCAGGTAGGTTTCATTGTGGTTTAATGAAAATGGGAAAGATAAATTCATGGGCTGACCGTAGAAACGTGCTTCTGTGTTTGCTTTGCCGCAGCCATATCGAAGTATGAGACGTTCGGGTTCAAGGTCGCAGTGATTGCCTCCATCGTGAGCTGTGCCGTCATTCTGCTGATGTCCATGGCTTTTTTAACTTGTTGTCTTATCAAGTGCGTGAAGAAAAGTGAAAGGAGGAGGACTCAAAGGTATGTCCAGAAAAGTACTGTACATCATATGAACCCCGTTGCTGTGATAGCAGAGAGCTTCCGAGGACTTGATGCTCACACCACCACCATGATGTTAATTACTTAAAATCCTTAATTTGTAGGTTAGGCTTCAGGCATGGAAAGACTTGGATTTCCAGGCTATTTAGGCACCTAATGTCCATTAATACCGGGTGACCTCAGCGGGCCTGGGCAGATCTGGATTTACCCAGTATTAAGCAGAAGCTGAACACACAAGTCCTATTTGCTGGCCCAGTCTTTCTCTCTGTAAATTACTTAAGATTGGCTGTGTTTCCCCTTCCTCTCTCTCTTTCATTTTTTCCTTTGCTCTCCTGCTGGGAAAATTAATCTGCCCATGCCAAAACCATCAAAGTCCTCACCGTCTGCAAATCTGTCACCGCGCTGTGCTGGAAGGATGTAGGGTTTTGTCTTCTGCCTTGAAGCGCAAGACAGGGGGCAGGATTATAAATGGGCATGGGAAGAAGGAAAATTTACCAATCCAGTCTGTTATAATAACTCCGCGTGAAGAGTGGCTGGGTGGCCCCATCCAGCTGTCCCCAAAGCTGTTGTTCATGAGGGCATCCGTCCGAAGTCACCCACTGCAGGTGGCTTTCCATGGGCCGCCCTCCCGCTTCTCCCGCTCCCGGTTCCCACCCCTGCCCTCCCGCCCGGCAGCAAGCTGTGCCGCTGGCTGATTCCGAGCCTCCCCTTGCACCAGGGAAGCATTTGGAGGGAGATGGGGGAGCAGTGGAGATGAGGGAGGACAGGAGGGGAGGTCTCTCTGCTCTGAGCTCTGTTCTACCCAGAGCTGCATGAGAACCAGCTTAGGGGGGACATTCTGTTGTTTTGAAATCTGATTGTAAACAAAATACAGACTTGCTATTTCCCTTGGAAGACTTTTGTGAGGCAAAAAAGAGTCTTTGGTGTCATTTGTAATATTGGCTTTTCACTGATCGCATCAAATAATTTTTGAAATGAAAGGGTTGACTGGCACTTTTTGAATCACTGCTTTTCTTTTTGATAAGACTATTCATATCAAAGTCGTTGTTTTTCATTTATTTTAAATGGAGTTTTGTCCAAACAAGCTGCTCACGTGACTTTGACGCTGGATATTTTTCTCTTACAAAAGAGAAGCCCTTCACACCAGATGTTTTGACCTGGTTCTGTCATCAGGACATAAAATTATTCCCTTTGCTGGGAGCTCCTCAGTCCCCTGCTGTCCTCCGTCCTCCCCTCGCTGCCTCTGAAGGGACTGCCCCAACCTGGCTGCTCTGGGGGGAACCGGGGAGCACTGCAGGCATCATGGGCCTGGCCCTGCTGATGGAAAGCAACTGAGGTGATGGAGAGACCGTCCGTGGCAGGCAAGGAGGAGTGTGCATTTCATATACGTACATACAGGAGTAACACACCCCAGTGTGCAATGTGCTGACCCGCTGCCAGCGTGGCAGAGCCCCAGGTGCAGCGGTGGCGTGGCTGCCGCTGGCAGCGCCCGAGGGCATGAAGGTCTGCATGTGGAGAGGATCCCTCCCATGAGGTCACTCAATGTGGTTGGAAAATGTGGATCGGCTTTTGGATGTGCAGGGCATTAACCTGAAGAGAAGCCGTGGGTTTGTAACTGAATGCACAGTGAGAATAGTTGGTAGGCGATTAGTTAAATAAGTGTCTGTCTGTTGGACCATCGCTGAAAGAAAATGGAGTCTGTACCCCTGGAGTGGGGGGGATGCCCTCATCTTGCCTTAACTTTGAAGTCTGCCCGTCTGCTGTTCTGGCTCTTTCAGTCAGTCTGCTAGAGGGGATCGCCTCTGCCTACAAACTTCTCTTGTAAGGTCTCTGTCCCGTAGTCTCAGAAGTGCCATCTTGTGTTTTGCCCTTGCATATGGAGAGGACAAAGGCTGCTGAAAGTCCTCGCCTAATGTGGCCTCCTCGCAGACCCCATCCCACCGTGTGAGCATAACAGCCGATTTCTTTGGTAGTGGCAGGATTGCATCCCAGAAGGACAGAAATGCCACCAAAATCAGCACCGCCAGCCCTCACAATTTGATCTTGCCCCATCAGCTGGTGTGAATGTCTGTGATTATGTGAATCTTCTTTTAAAAACAAGAAAAGAAATTGTGATTGTTTGGGGTTTTTTTTGCCCCAGGGTTGTAGAGAGCAGCATGAAAAGCACCTTGAGCATTTCCGAAAGGAAATCCCAAAGGCAGCCAAATTTGCCCTGCTCTTAATGAAGGGAACATTGCCCGTCTCCTCCGTTTTTCACCCTTTCAACCTGCTCGGTGATTTTTGAACCCTCAGGAAAGGCAGTGCTGTGAAAATTCACAAAAGTACTTTTTTTTTTTTTTTTAAATAATTTATTCCATAAAATGGGGATGGCCTTTGGATGTACAGCAGGATCTGGCCTGCCGCGTGCCACTGATGGAGATCCATGAGGACACTGACACAACAGCGTGCCCAAAGTGACTTTCCCTGTTACCTGGAGGCTCAAAATCCACTGAATCAAACTGACATAACTACTGGGGGGTTGTTTCTTTGAACTACCCACAGGTGCTCAGGAGAAAATTGCTCTTTTTTTTGGATGTTTGCTTGGGTTTTTGAGGATAATATTGAATACAATATTTATGCTATTTAAGACCCCCCCACACCTTAAGGTATTTAAGTCTCTGAAAATTTGGCTTGCACTGGAAGTTCAGCCCATGTCTCAGTGCTGTCTTCAGTAAGCCTGGGTTTAGATTTAAGCTCCGGTGAGTTGGGGCTGTGGTCAGGTGGACGTGGACGCGCAGATTACGGCCGCTTATCACAGCGATGTGTTTCACCCCTTGCTTTATTCACAGAGAGATGCAGCTGTGGTACCAGCTCAGAACAGAAGAAATAGAGCACATGCAAGCTGCCTACTTTGGTTTTAAAGGAAGAAACAACAACAACAACAATAAGAAACTCAGGAATAAACCTGGATTTGATGACATGACTAATGTGGCGTATGATAACCAAGGCTTCTACAGGTAAGGCTGTTAATATGTAGTGTGTTTGAATGAGTTTGTTGAAGAAATTTTAGGAGGAGGGTTCCTCAAAAATGCATTTTAAAGGGGTGCCCCTGCAGAGGACATGGTGCCAGTGGATTGCCAGGGCTTGCCCTTGAACTTGCCCATCTTGTGGGGAATCAACGTTGCCAAAAGGTGAGAGAAGCCGAGCATGAGCTCTGTCCTCACAGCTGCTTCCATCCGTCCCCAGCAGTGCCTGGTTAAGCCTGGCCTGCAGGGAGGTTGTACCAAGGTAACTGGAGAGAGGTTTTTAATTGACTTTGTTAACTGGATGCTAAACTGCAGCAGGGACAGCACCGCTCTCCGTGGGTTGCTGGGATCAAGGTGCTGGCTCGCCCCAGAGCGGAGCTGGACAAGGATGCCTGGGGCTGCAGCATGGCTCAGGGCGAGCACCACGTTCATCCCTAGGTGGCCAAGAAAGCCCTCTGGACAAACACCATTCCGTTACCAAGGTGTGCAGGACAAAACCCTGGGATCCTCATCCCCTCAGCGGTGTGAATGCCCGCAGTGGGAGAGCCCTGATCCCGGGCAGTCTGGAGAGGTGTCCAGGATGAAATGGAGCGCGTCACGTACTGTGGGTGCGCAATGGCGGGCATAGGGGGTTCCCATGTCAGCTCAAAGTCACCTCCGAGAGTGCCCAGATGTGTTCTGCTGGCTGTGGTGTTGCCAGCAAAAGAAAAACAGAAAAAAGAGTATGTGTTAAATTCCAATCGCTGTTTTGCTATTACCACTCATATCAACACATGTCATCATGTCTTTTATGTCCTCTGGGTTCTGCTGTGTTGTCGGGTACGATAATACACAGCACAAGCCTTGTTTGCTTTTAATCCACTGCTCACTTCTACAGCTTTTGTGTACAGCAGTGTTCGTGATTTGTAGCGCTTACCTGCAGAAAGCAATGTTATGCAGATTATAAACCTGCTTCCATGTCATGGTGCAGCTGGAAATTACATTCAAATGGAGCACTCACACAGAAGCGTAATCAGCTCCCAGCTTTGGGTGATTTCAGAAAGATGTATAAAGCTAATTAAATGCTGATTATAACCTAAACAGTTTTTAGAAGACTGAGGATGCAATTTTTAATTTTGGGCAACTTCAACCTGCTGCAAAGTTAATGTTTTGTGTTAAGTGTAAGCTGCTTTTAAAATAATACAGCTAAACTTAGGAAGGGCTGTGAACAGGTTAGTGCTCTGCTGGAGCCTTGAGCTCCTTCTGGGCTTTTATCTGCACCACTCCACGAGGCAGAAGCTGCTGTATGGTGTTCACCAAATTCTGGACACTTTTTCTTAACTGCAAGTTAGCAGGGAGTATTCAGTTCTTCTGGATAAGCAGCTTCCCTGGGGCCAGAAGTCAACAAGTTTATTATTTCTTTAGAAAACTGGAGAACGTATAAGCTTCAGCAGGGAATTGCAGAGGGCAGGAGGAGGGAAGCCTGCGCACTGTTTTTGTCCTATGTAGAACCATGCACACGCTGTGTTCAATGCTGGTGCACGCACCCACCGCCCGACGCACGAGGTCGGCTGCCAGCCCAGGCCTACCTTATCTCCAGCGTGCAGAGGTGCAGTGGCCCTGGCTAATAGCTAGCCAGAGCAAAAACCCGCTGGGAGGGGAGGTAGATTCGCCTGTGTGCCCGGAGCCAAGTCTGTCCCTCTCTCACGTGGAGAATGGGTGCTGCTTCTCATTGGAGACCGAAATGGCACTGAAGGTGTTACAGACCCTGAGTAAAACGGTCTTGGAATTGCTGTAAGAACAGGTGTGACCCTTTATCAGTTTGTTCCTATTCTTCGCTCACATACAGCATATTTCATCCAGGTTAGTACAAGGTGCTATTTCCCGGCCAGTTCTGTTAAATGGGTATGTGCACAGCATGAGACGTGGGAACGCTGTTAAGTATCTCATGCCAACTCTTCAAGACAATAAATGATCCGTCAGCTTTGTGTCTCACTTGCAAGGCTTATTTTTCGTGCGTAGCAAATTGGGCCAAGTTTCATCATCCTGTGCACATCCAGCTTCCTGGGAACGGCAGGACAGTGTAGGCAAATCCTTGGGGAGCTGCAAACACAAAGCTGGCTTATGCTGGGGAGAGCGGCACGAGGGGACGTGTTTACTACCTGGAGTACTCCCTTCTCCATTTACCCTGAAGGGGACGTGTTGGCAGCCTGTGCTTGAAGGAAATCTCAAAGTATGGGGGTGTTGCAGCTGTGGTGGAGCTCTCACAGCGTTGATTGTCTGAGAGAATAAATAAGAGGCATTGGAAAAAAAGCAGCAAAACTGAGGACAAGCAAGCCTGAAAGCAAGCTTCTGCGTATTGCTGCATGCATGGGAACCAAAGCGTGCGCCCATGGTCACCAGCAAGCCAGAAGATAATTTAACCAAGGCTCCTCAGGGAAGGTTCAGACTTGCCATGAGGAAGCATTTCTTCACCCAGAGGGTGGTCAGACCCTGGAACAGGCTTCCCAGAGAGGGGGTCAATGCCCCAAGCCTCCCAGTGCTCAAGAGGCATTTGGATGGTGCCCTTAATAACGTGCTTTAACTTTTGGTCAGCCCTGAATTGGTCAGGCAGTTGGACCAGGTGATCTTTGTCGGCCCCTTCCAGCTGAAGAACTCCTGTTCTGTTCTGTCCTATCCTATCCTATCCAAACCTATTCTTGTGTTAATGTTTCAGACATTTGAAGGAATTTGAGCAATGTATCGCGAGGCCTCTGAGCAAATCGGGAATCCTCCTTTGTTTTTCTAACAGGTATCTCTCCTAGGAAGCATGGGAGGCTGATGGTTCTCTGCCTGCCTTTTTCAGGGCTGCTGTCCGTGTGGTTCTCTGTGGTACAGCCATGGGAAGTGGCTTTGCAACCCACTTAGGAGGGGAAGGCTGAGAGAGGAGCGGGGCCCTTGGCTGAGAAAGGAGTGGGTGGCGGCTTGGCAATTTGTGTTGTCTTCATGATGGTGTTTCCTTTTCTTAAAGAAAACTGTGCTGCTACTTCCTCAGAGTGTATGAAGTACCTGGAAGGGCGACAACTCCTCCCCTCCTGAGAAAGAACCTCCTGAGTATATCTTGGCCTGTTTTTGACTAGAAAAGGTTGTAGGTCATGCTGCTTTTCAGACTTAATTGAAATAGATTTAGAGATTAACTAGAGATTAACGTTTTGATTCACCACTTCAAGAATCAAAAATACTGCAAGAACAAAGAAAATAAAAAGCCAATTCTTTGAGGTAAGCCAGCATAAAATAAGAGGAAAAGCCAGTTCTTTCAGACAGGTAAGATACTTGTTATGGTTTACAGAGTAATTCAGGATTAAAAAAATACCATCTGTTAAGTGGGTGCCTTAGTATGCCGATGAGGTAATTCTGGCTGTAACGAGGTGACATAACGTGGATGCAGAATGCTGGTGTATGGAAGCCATCAGTGATGCAGAAGAGTAGAACCTGCTGGAGAGTAGAAACTCCAGCGTGCTGTGCCGGACCCCACTGCCACAAAATGAGATCTTTTTCCCCTCCTGTTTGAAGCATGGAACAAATGTGATAATTATATAGTTTTGCAGGGAAATGTCAAATTTTAGTGGCAACTACCCTAATTATAACGAGCCCCACTCTGGCTTCCTGGCTGCCTAAACAAATTGCTTTAAAGCGCTGGGAAATATCTCTACAAATATGTAGGATCATTAACGACAGAGTGCAGTCACTGTTGATGCCACCTCTTGCATTTGGAGGCAAGGAATCATAATGAGGATAAAAGTGCCGATTTTTAGCAGAAAGTCTTACATGCAGGAGCTGCAAGCATTTACAGCGTATTTGCTCTGCTAAAATATTTGAAGAGCTAACTAATAGTGAGCAGGGAAGGCCGAGCTAGAAGGCACGGGGCTGCTGGGAGGGACGTGTTTTCTGCAGCGTTGCTTCTCAGAAGTTTAGAGCACAGAGCAGAGATCGCAGGTTGCTGTGTGATGCAGAGGTTTGGGACAGATTAGCAGGGGAAGAGGGTCTGTCATCTGGGGGAGGGCGATTAGCTGCGGCTCTGCACCACATAGGGAGGGGAGAACAATGTGCATGAACCTCCAAAGCAGGCCCCCGGGAGGATTGCTCGGCAAGGGCAGGGCTTGTCAACGCAGGGACACATGGGGACACGGCAGTATGTAACAGGAGAAAAGCCTGAAATCAGTAGGTTAGATTCTGCTTTCTTTAACATTGTAAGATTTAAAAGTCTTCCCAATTCTGCATGAGAATGAAACCAGGCTTGTTGGCATTGTTCATCCAGACCGTCCTGAAGGCAGCAGGGAGCAGCAGACAGGCCAGGGGTCGGACAGGCTCTGGGGGTCTCGCCGGGGAGTTCGGGCATCAGGTGACGTGAGTGACGCAGAGGAATGAGTGCTTGAGACGCTGTGCTGGGTCTAAGGTTTTTTGAAATGGGCACTCAACCCCTGCCTGGACGATGTCCTGTGCACCCTGCTCTGGATGACCCTGCTTGAGCAGGGGGGGTTGGACTGGGTGATCTCCGGAGGGCCCTTCCAACCCCTGCCATCCTGGGATTCTGGGATTCATCAGCTGCCTGAGCGGGCAGGTTGTCCTCTGTCCAGTGACAGGCACTGGGTACAATACTGGTGAAGAGAAGCTTAATGATGACTGTCCTTCCTCTGTGCCAGCTACTGGTGGTATTTGAGAGGTGGAGGTGAGTGCCAGTGAGAGACGATATTAAAGAAGCTGGTGTCGGGGAGCAGGGTCACACTGCCGTGGGCACAGGCATGCTCACACACCACCGTGGGTCAGCTGTAGCTGTTCCCAGGTGCATGGTTGGTACAGGTGGGTTGAGGCAAGTTTGGCTTTGGCATCCCCTGCCTGGAGAAAGGCAGAGAAACTGCAGCGGCTTGCTCATGACTCCCAAACTGAAACAGCAGCCTCCCCTTTTCCATTAAGTTGTCTCAGCCACGCCACTGGAAGAAACTGTAAAAATATGCACAAACTAGCTAAGGCACTGTGAGAGCAAACAGCAACCCCTTTCTGGCATGCAAGGATATTAAAGAACTGGGCACTCCCTGGCTTGAGCTGTAGCCTATTTGTACGCCAGCATGTGCAGAGAGCGAGCTGTCCCAGGAGAAGTGCAGATAGCTAATGATGAAAAAAGCCTGAGAGCGCTTGTTTCAGTTTGCATCAGCTTTCTCATTATGGTAAGACATGGCCACACCTAGGGAAGCCTCTGTTTTCTTTGCTTTTCCAGCCTTACAGTCCTGGAATCTGTCCTGGAGTAGGTACTCCCTTGACTCAGGGATGTGCTGTTGTTTTGCAAGGGGGAATTGATGGTCTAATATTTTCCACACTTCGGGAGAGCTGAGTTTGGCTGCACACTAACTCCTTTTCATCCACTGTCAGCTAAGATGACAACCCCAGAGGAACTAGTCCAGCTCAGAAACATGTCTGAAGAGCAGCAAAGGAACTTGGTGGGGTTTTTTTTTTCCCCTGGTGTGGAAGCATTTGGAAGAAGTTGTGCATTCCAAATCTGGGCTGTTTTGAGGTGAATTATTTTACACAGCTCTAGGCCAAGTTATAAAACGTTCTCTGTGAAGTAGCGGATCTGACTGCAGGAGCGAGTCAAATGGAAAAGCCCGTGTCTTGGTAGGTCTAAAGTCCTCCTTTCAGATATCCACTGCAGCTGGAGCATGTTATCAAGAAGAAAAATACCCTTCTGCAGAGAAACGGTCTGGCATGTTCTCCCACAGAAGGTATTTTTAGTACCTGAAATTTTTGTACCGGAGCCCTTTCTGCCTACAAGATGCATTTCCAGTGTACCTGGCACAAAGCAAACATGGACAATCCGACACCAAAGATGTCCAAGTGAAAAGGCTTTGCAAAAACCCCCAAAGGCAGCACGCCCTGAGGAGAGGCAGCTCGGCGTTTTCAGTCGATCCAGGAGGTCAGTGCAGGGCTGGTGAAACCAGCTCCTGGCTTTGGCCCCCACAATAACAGGAGATGGTCTTTTCTTTTTCTCTTTGATTTAGAGGCTGTAATCATTGCAGTTTTCCACTACCTTGTGTAAGGGGTTGCAAGAAAGGTGCAAATCAGAAACTCGTGTTGCTCTAAAAAATGTCCCTGCCCATCCAGGCTTGCCGAGGAGCATGGCTGGAAGCCCAAGGACCTTCTAGAAGTATGGACAAGGTGGGATGGGACACTTGACCACATTCCCACCTTGCCCTCTGCCCCCTCGAGGGCACTTTCCCCGCTGCTTTTCCCCTCTGACCACCTAAGTAGAAGAGATTAAAAAGCTGAAGGATCTGATGCTCTTCCCCTAGCGGGATGGCGTGGTGCAGGTTTACCACGGTGAAAGGGGACAACAGTTGCAGAAAAACCCATGTTGAGAGACGAGCTGCTGCAAAGCTCAATGGAAAACAGAGGTAGAACAAGAAAAATCCACCAGGACACCTAGAATGACTGACAGGAGAGGCATCAGTGGGAGGATTAGGGGTGGTGCAAAACATCTACTACACCAGTGACTTAGTGTAAGACTGCTAGGGGTCCTGGGGAAGCCAGTTCATCTGGGTGAAGGCTTTTGCAGGTCAGCAGTCTCAGCAGCGAGCCGGACTCTTTGCTCCCTCCAAACCATCCATGCATTTTCTTTTATGATGGGCCTCGCTGTCAGAAGTCACTCTCCTCTGCCTGGAAGCTTGGGAGTGCAGAGCTCAGCCCTGCCCAGGTCGGTGGTGCAGGCACAGGATGATTGCACAGCCTGGGCAGGTGTGGATGTGGCCCCGCTCCGCGCCACGGCTTGAGCCCCCAGTGGCCCTCAGGGCTGCAGGGAGGTGCAGGACCCATCCCCACAGCGGGGTTTGAGACGTCGCTACATGAAGCATCCAGTGAGATGGCTGCAAAGAGGAAATGACCCCTTTGGTACGATTGTGCGTAATTAACACACTCCCCTACGCTTACCATGTTTGATCGTATGGCACTTAGGACCAGAGGGGAGGAGACCCAGCACGGGAGAGGGGCAGATTTCCTTTCTGAGCTTCTGTATAGATTATCCCCTGCCTTGAGTTGTCCCACCCTGAGCCTGGAGGCTCTTTCTAGTTTGTTATTACTGTGCTCTGTGTTCCCAGCTGCCACCTTTCAGAGACTAACACCTTCCCGTACCTTTCGACACGTGTATTTCAAAGAAAGATGAGGCAGGGGAAGTGAGCTGTGGTTTCATCTAGGGGCCCTGTCCCAAAGGGTAGGATCGCTGGCTGCTAAATTGTACCGATTTCTGAACTTCAGTCTCAATTACAACGAGCACAGAGGGTGTGTGCACAGCAACATGCACTTTCAATAAAGCTGCTATTGTTGTTTTCATAATGCTTCCACGATTACCCCAGGGTCCTGTACAAAGTCACCAGACATCCAGCAACAAAAAAGTCCCCTCCCACCCTCCAGTGCAAAGCGCTCTCTGCAGAGCCAGTGCTAGCAGCAGGCAGTGTCCTGGCGGTCCCGCTGCTCTGCGTTCTCACACTCCTCACATGTCTCATTAACGGTGTTTTCCCCTCCAGCTGGGAACAGCTCTCAAGTCACACAACGCAAACTTCCTGTGAAGCCTCTAAAACCCATCGACAAATGCAATGGTGGCTGCTCTGCTCCCCGGATGGCAGCTCAGACTTGAGCTGTCACATGGAGTCTGCCCTTGTCAAATGTGCTGTGCATCTCCGTGTGGCTTCTGCTCCCCGATGGCAAGCCGCAGGGGTGCTCAGATGATTCTGCTGTCGAACACAAAGTTACTTGAGGCTGCTGCCCCAGCGGCCCCAGGAGCAGGGGAGCTGGGGGCCTGGCAACACATGTGGGGCAAGCGACCTCTGTGCCAGCCCGGCCGGCAAACAGCTGCTGGGGAGTAACTGATGTCTCACAAAAGCCCACATGCTACAGTAACATGGCACAAACCCAGACGGGCCGTGCCTTCACACAAAGCCATGGGCTTAAAGCCAGCGGCACCCATGACGCCCCTTGCAGCCAAGTTCGATGCAGCTGACCCCATGCCCCCGCTCTCCTGAGCCAGTTGTGTGTAGGTTACTGAGCATCCTCGCCGCAGCTCTGCCGCCCCTGCCCACTGCCACTGCTGCTCTGCCCCTGCCGTCCACTGCTGGGCTGTTTGCTCCCTGGGTCAGTGGCCTGTGCTGGCTCACCCCTGCAGCCGGGCAAGCCCGCCCTGCCTGCTGCGGGGGGGCGGGGGGGGGGGGGGGGGGGCACCACATGCACGCGCAGCCGGCAAGCACAGAGCCCAGCCTGCAGTCCCCTCTGGGCCAGTCGCGGGCACAGGCACTGCTGGCAGTTCTGCAGAGCAACATCTCGAATCCCACTGAGGAGAGCTGGCTCTCCTCCCCGCAGCGCCCTGCTAACCGGGCCAGGACTTCCCTCCTGCACTGGTCCCAACCTTCCAGCATCCTTCATAATATCATCTAGATAGCGTAGCATTAAATTGAAGCTAGGACTCGTTTGATGGAAAACAAAGACATGCCCCAACCCGAGATGAAACCAACCTCGCAAGCCTTTCCAAGGTCTGCATCAGCTTGTAGAGAGATGCAGTTATTTGCCCCACTGCTGCCAACTGGTTTTAATGCTGGGAGAGGTGAGTCCATGTGTCATGGCACAAATAGTTTGCAAAATGCCTGATGTGCAAATAAAATGGATCGGAAAGTTCTGTATCCTCGCCAGAGCAAATGAAACACAAATAACAACTTTTTCCTTCATGCTTACAGGTTCCAGGAGGAGTGGACTCGAGACACGGAAGCTCCTGGGTGTTGCAAAGACAACAACCGTCTGCCCAAGCCAGCGCAGAGCAGCAGCGCGCCTGTGAAACACGCTGTGCCAGGACACGGTGCCACGGTGCAGACGGTGGATTCAATACATGTCGTCGAAGTCTACGGACATCAGGATAGTTACAACAAACTGAGCTGTTGGATACCTGGATAGCTGGTGTCTGAAATGTAACTGCTCCTCTGGACCAAAATGGTATTTGGATAGAAACATGTGCCTTAAAGACAACACAGTTAATTATTCCTATGAATTTGAACATTTTCTATATTCCAGGGTGGTTATTTAGCAGAAATGCTCCAAGGTCTGATACAAATAAAAGAAGTTACGTTGAGGCTGGCAGTCCGTAGCCGTTCTCTCCAGTGTGCTATGTACTGGGACCGTGGCAAAAGCATAATATCGTTCTTCCATATGCCTAGAGAGAAGCAGTAGCCAGTTGGTACCTTTGCCTCATACAGAATCACTGATGATAATTACACCTTAGTAAGACTGGACCCTTCTTTAAGCCAGTGTTTTTTGTAATCATTTCAGAATGAAAAATGCCCCGTATTTTTACACAGTAGTATGACAGAACTGCAATAAAATTTTGTTTTTAATTAAAAGCCCCCGTTGTTTTGTATCAGGAAGGCCTTTTTGTTCAGTTCATCTGCACATGGGGACCATGTGAGCCACGTGTTGCCCGGCGAGGGAGCTCCCCACGGACCCCCCAGCCGCAACCTGCATCCCAGCGTCTGAGAGCAGCACAGGCTCACGGGGGATGCAGCCTTCCTGGAGCGGCGTGGCTCATCCCCGTGGCAGCCCTCCTCATAAAGGGGTGATGTGGTTTTTGGAAACCTGCCACCTCTTCCTATTATTACTCTGTTCACTGTGTGAGGAAACAAGGCATTTTTTTCTTGTCTTATCTATTTTGAATAGTTAAGCAACTGATAGGCTCTTATTCTACTGTTGCATGCACACACATGTATATCATACAGCATAGTTATTTTTGTTCAGGTTGAAGCCTTATTTAGTCTCCTGTTACCAGCTGTCCCACTCCTGTCATGGAAATACAACCGTACAGCAAGCCCCAGTAGTTGTTTCATTGTGTGTCCTGCTTGTTATGAGTCAGGTATCCTCTCAAGACCTTCAGGGCTGAAGTTTTGGGTTTGAAATTAAAAGTACTATTGCTTGCTGGCAGGGCTAGAAGCACCCTGTTCCCAGAAGCCAACCCTATGGTGGGCTACATCCCCAGCAGCATGGCCAGAGGTGGGGGAGGGGATTCTGCCCCTCTGCTCCGCTCTGGTGAGACCCCCCTGGCGCCCTGCGTTCATCTCTGGAGCCCTCAGCACAGGACAGACAGGGACCTGCTGGAGTGGGGCCAGAGGAGGCCACAAAGGTGATCCAAGGGATGGAACAGCTCTGCAATGAAGACAGGCTGGGAGAGTTGGGGTTGTTCAGCCTGAAGAGAAGGCTGCAGGGAGACCTGATTGCAGCCTTTCAGTGCTTAAAGGGGGCCTATAGGAAAGAAAATCTTTTTAGTAGGGCCAGCTGTGACAGGCCAAGGGGTGATGGTTTTAAACTGAAACAGGGTAGGTTTAGACTGGATATATGGAAGATATTCTTTACAATGAGGGTGGTGAGACACTGGAACAGGTTGCCCAGAGAGGTGGTGGAGGCCCCATCCCTGGGAACATTCAAGGCCAGGTTGGAGGGGGCTGTGAGCAACCTGATCTGGTTAAAGGTGTCCCTGCTCCCTGCAGGGGGGTTGGATTGGGTGACCTCTAAAGGTCCCTTCCAATCCAAAGCGTTCTGTGATTCTATGATTCCATCCTGGCCATGCTTGGCAGAGATCAAAACCACATGCTTGAACTCCAGCTATGTGGGAGTCACAGCAAAGGAGCCGGGTTTGTTCCCCATAAGCTCAGTTCTATACGTTACAGCATTCTACAGCCCTGCAACGTGCTGCTTAGTGCGACAGTATAACGGATGTACTTCTCAACACTGGTTCCAACTAAGTCCTCAGTTCATGAAACTAATACTAGCCAATGTTGATCAGGACATATTTGTGCTGTGAACCATTGTGCCTGCAGATTTTCAGTGCCCGGCCAGGCCCAGCCAGCGTCTGTACCCAGGTGGGCACTTGCATCCCACCTGCAGAGTCGGCTTCTGCTGTGTGCGGGTCTGGCGCCAGCTCCATTGCCCATCCCATCGGCTGGGGGCCCCCCACCCCGCCGTGGGAGCATGCAAAGGGGTCAGAAGGGTTTTGAGAGGACGTGTTATAAAGTCTCGGGGCAAGGCAGCCCCAGGAGGGGCCCACTGGAGGCCCTTGCAGGGTGCCCTCAAGTGGAAAATCAGATGCAAGGATGTGAAATCTCTGCACAAAGCTATGCACGCCAGCCGTCACAGCGGCAGCTCTTCCCCGCTGCTGGTGTGGGACTTTCTGGCAGGGAAGCCAGGGCTGGCTGGGCTCTGGCCGCCAGAGGAAAGCACTCCTGGGTCCTGTTTGAGAACAACGGCTTGGAGAGCATCTGTGGTGAAGTCCACAGGTGGATGAAAATAGAACCAAAAGGTGTGAAAGGAGCATTGAGAGGAACAAAGTCTGGGAAAACCAGCCAAACATCTGAGACGCTCCTGTACAAATGGCTGGCATGTTAGAATTAAATGCAAAAAGCAGCTAAAGCCTTTCCACATTATAAAAGGTAGAACTTAGTAAGAATTACAGGTGCTTGTGAGACAAGTGATAGAACTAGGATCCTGGCATGGCAAGTGATAGCTTCTTCCAGGTAGGACAGGTGAGAAGAAAGGACTGTACGTTCTCTGCAGTTCAATGTGAGGCGAAATGCTCATTAGTTAATGTCTGCAGTTGGAGGGCAAAGGAGCCTGGGCGCTGGGTGTTCTGCACTGCTCTGCAGGTAGGAGGAGCTGGCAGAAGCTCACTGGGGGAGATAACAGAACCATCTTTAATATTGGGCGGCTTTATTTGCCTGATGCGCTGCTGGAGAAGTGTGCAACTGTCAGGAGCTGGATCGTACGCCTCGGTGGCTGTTTTATTTCTGAAGGTGGTGGGAAATGGGGTGGTGGTTGCCTCTGGCTACAGCAGGGAAAACCTTGTTAAAAGTCAGAAGTGACATTTGGGTGAACAGGAAAACAAGTGACATCGCATTTTTAAGGAAAGGAGGAAGAGCAGCAGGTAAAGGAAAATGGACTTCAAAAAGGCAAATCTGGACGTACCCAGATGAGACGCACAAAGGATCCGTGCAGGAACAATCTGATGGATGGAGCGCAGGGCAGATGGCAGTCCCTAGCAGGGAGTGTTTCAAGGCAAGCAAACAGATGCAGAGGACAGCACAAATCTGGCACAGCTGCCTCGGGAGGTCCGAGGGCATGAAAACAAGAGCAGAAAAACTCAAACGTGGCAAATGACTGAGGAGCAGCACAGGAAGAGGCGAGCAGGCCTGTTCAGGAAGGTGAGGGAACGTGAGTTACAGCAAGCGAGGGAAACGAAAAACACAGCAGAAGAAACAGTAAAACTACAGGGAAGGTATTTATTGGGAAAAGCAAAAATGGGGACCCAGCGGTGACAACCACTTAATGTCTACTTTGGATTAGGCACCGCTGAAAATTTCACTGGTTAATGCAATGAATTTTAACATGGGACTAGGACTGCAGCCTGGAATAAGGCAAGAGAAAGATCACAAATACTGAGATAAATTGGATTCCTTGATGGAATTCATCCTAAAGCACTAAGGAACTCACTAGGCAATACCTGAACCATCACTGGTGCAGCTTCAGGGAACTGCAAGGGACAAGGGAGGTCTTAGAAGACGGGGAAGTTCAAATCTACCTTTGATAAGGGGAGAGCAGAGAACCTCCAAAAGTACCAGAATGAAGGTGCTTCTGATACCCAGGAGGAGCGTAGGACAAACGATTAACCAAGCAATTTGCAAAGAAGGCACATCCCAACCTGGGATTAAACAGAGCTGTAGGCATGGGAGGGAACTCTTCTCTTCTACTACTGATACCGTGCCTTGGTTTTTAAAAGCAGGTAAGGTACAGGTGTGACAGGTGGCCCAGGTATGCTCAATCCTGCCTCTGTGCAGCTCTTTGGAATTGCCTTCCTCTTCTACAGCTTTGCAATTATGTTGACTGGATTTAATGGTTTAGCTCCCTGGCATTTTCATTTCATCATGTGACTTTAAAATGCTATAATATGATTGCAAGTCAGGGAGCGAAACCAATTCTCTTGCTGGGATGTCTGGGTCAGCCAGCAGAGCGCATGAGAGGGGAGCCCGGTTGCCCTGCCCTAGAGGTGAGGCCATCGGAGTAATGTCCGACAGGGAAGAGTAAAGCCTGGAGATGGCAAGGACATCGCTAGCCATGCAAGCAACAGCCAAGGTAGGTGAGCGCACTGTCTGTCTGCCAGAGCACTGCATATCTGTCATTTATTTAGGCGTCTAACACAAGCGGCAGCAAAGTTACACAAGAAGATAAGGAAAAATACCCATACTGTTTTTGTAAGATTTGTGGCTCTCTTCCCCCCCTGGGGCTGTGCTTAGTTTATGACAGCTGCACCCCCTGGAGTTCGCTTTATTGCTCATGTAAACATTATTTATTGTCAGAAGGAAAGCGAGTGCTGTGCAGGAAGGAGATGAAAGCAGCTGAGAATCTAAAACAGCCATGTTTACAACAACCCTCATCTTAAGTTAACCCTTAAATGTTTGCCAGCCAGTGATTTCAAATGAATCCAGGCTCCCATTTCTGCTGCAGAAGACTTCCATTTTCTTGGGTGTTTTACAGAACTGATGGCTTGTGCTTAACGAACAAGTTAAAATGCTACAAACTACAGAAACAAGCACAAGACAGCCCTCCCCCCGCCCTCCCCGCCCCCGGACACGTATAATTTAATTGCTGTCTGTTACAATACGGCAGGATACTTCTTCACAGGTTAAAAACCTGGCAACAGCGTTTATCAGAGCAATTGCTTATTTGCATTCCCTCGCCCTGTGTTTTAAAACTCTTTACCCAGCGCAGGCAGCTCTGCGGAGGCTGTTGCACTGGTCGGGTGTTAAGCTTCAACTGCCTGAAGAAACCCAAAAGGCAGCTTTCAAGATTTTACAGAAATACTAAACAGGGCATGGTTTTTAGGGCAGCTGACATACTTTTTGTTGTAGGAGGGTATCTGGCCCTTGCTTCCTTTTAAAGGAAAATTCACTCTTTGAAACAGATGAAAGAAGGCGTTTGCCATGCTGGAAACATGGTGTGCCCCAGCCTGTGAGTGCCGGGCGCTCCACATGGGAAACCAGTGAACCTGCACCAGTCAAGTCCTTACAGAAATATTTCCTGCGGGGAACACCTACTTCTGCTTGTGGG